CAACAAACCAATATTTCAGAGATAACAATGATCTAGCTAGGGCAGTGTGCCATATTTTTGATAATGGATACATAAGTGGCTATATGACTTATATATACCATACTTAAAAAATGGATGGACCTCTTTAAGAAGTGGAAATTGTGAAACCACTGAATTCAAGCTGAGCTTTTAATCTGTAGATTACATTTCATTAATTTTAGATAATTTATCAACTACAGAGGCTAAAAATGAAGTCAAAGCCCACTAGCATTGTTAACAAAAAGTGCAATGTGCAACTGTTAGAGAATACATAAGGAGATGTGGCACCGCAAAGGCAAGAGGTCAGCCTTGTCTGAGATGGTTTCCACAAGGAAAGTTAACCGCTTCTTATCCGACCACCAAAGCTAAGCTTTAACTACTGGATGTGTAACTAAGTAATAAGATCACTGTATTTCCCGTTTTCATTTTCTTTCCTATTTTTATTACTATTATTGACTATTTTTTTGTTGTTGTTGTTTCTCATTTTCCCTGCCAATATGAGTGATTTCCTTCCCTCACATTTACTTTCTGACGGCTTCTTCATCTAAGGAGAGTTTGACCACTGTTGATATAAGGTTGGGCATAATTTATTATGTAAATGACGTAAGTTGAAAGTGAAGCTATACTTGAGTCATGCCATCCCTAACATTAAAGGTCAGTTTTCCTAGGACTTAATTAGTTTTCAAGTTTATTTTTACGGGTCTTAGTATTTTTAGATGTTGCTTTTCGAGGTCTTAAAATTTTGTATGTGAAGGTCTTAGAATGAGAAATTTAGTATGCTTTTAATTACAAGGTGTTGAACCTAAGGTCTTGGGTCTTCGACATAACAGTCTGTTAGACTTTGTTGTTGAGGAAAAGGCAGGTCATTTATGATAAGAACACTAGCTGCTACATGTAGATGGTATGGCATGGGGCTGAATGAAAACATTCACAACAGTTTTGCTTTCGATTTCTTTTGATCAGCATGCAACCATGAGACAAATTAATAATGGACCCTTATTAAACCCTCACTAAGGGATTTGAAGTCTCCCAAAACCAGAAAAATTGACAATTTCTTTCAATTTACCACACATGTACAGTAAATTGTACACTAAAGAAGATGATCAAGGGAAAATATAATTCTATTTGATGATTGAGTTTGAATTTATTTTATTTCCCACACATACAGAAATGCATGTAAACTTAAGATATGCATGTACAATTAAGAGACACTAGTGACAAAGAGTGGCGAAGAGGAAGAAACAATTCTAAGTATAACAATACTTGACTATTAAGTAAGTTGCTATGCTAAAAGATCACTTACTTTTTGGTTCACACAATGCCTGAGCACCTGTGTCATCATTTTGACAGTCAACGTTAAGATTTCCATCAGTTCGCGGGCAGGATGCCAGCTTGGGCTCATCTCCATTACAGGCTACATCAGACATTATAATAGGAATGTCCTCATCCTTGATATCGTCC